AATATTAGCCCTATCGGAATTCTACAGTTGTAGAACAGGACCAGGTGGAATTTTCGTAAATGGGTGGAGATGGACGTGAATGCCGGGATGGATGTTTGGAAGTCTGAGGGGTGGAGCGAGGGGAGAGGAGGAATGTAGAAGTGCTTCTGGCGAGCCGGGTGGGGGATAGTTAGCGTTCGCCTGGGTCCAGGTGTTGAGAGCACTGGGGTCGAGTATATGTCCGAGATGTCGCAAGCATCCTCAATCGCTGGCTCCCCCTCAGGGGCAAGATCCAGAAACTGCGGGGAGGAGTCATCTGGATTCTCAAGCGGCAATATACTCCCACTGAAGTCGAGTAGTTCTACAGTTATCTGGGCCCTGGCCACAAATTTTATTCTAGGAAGTAGGAATGGCCCCCTGTAATTTTTGTCATCATGCTCTTGGTCCTCTAATACCAAGGTTCAGATCTCGTCTGTACTTTCTCTTGGGCTCTAACCGACGGGGTTACTTTTGTGCTCTGGGAGAACGTACTGAGGTTCCGGAGATGAGCTAAAGTAGAGCAGCAGCAGCAGTCCTGGCAGAGGGGGTGTGCGGCTCGGCCCCCACGAATATTGGCTAACTTGGATTGAGTGGGTGAGAAGTCAATTTTTTCCACCCGCAACGTGGTGTAGAACCAACTACACCATGAAACCTCATGACACATACAGTCCAGAGTACTCCCACCCTAAACCTTAACGGGAACCAGAGAAGCCAGACACCAATACCCTACCACAGAATAAAGGGACCATGTGTTAGGGTACTATTGTAAACTGCAACGGTAAAGAAACGAAAACAGCGGCGACAAAACGAAACGACGCTTAGTAACGCAACAGAAAATATTATCATCCCCAGCGTACAAAAGTGGGAAAGTGGGGGAGTTCTCTGGTTCAATGGGGGGGGGGTTGTATTCCTTTTCCGCTGCTCGAATACTTAATTCGAGCCTGAACAAGCATAGCTGTTATTGCATACCATCAAAATCTTGAGGCTGTGGCCAATTTTTTGCCCATATGCAATAGTAGTCGTTTTTACAAAGGTCAGGAAATTACGAGTACCGTCCTACTTGTTGGCCGCTACGTCTCCTCCCTCACTTCGTTTAGGGTGTCCTCCCACATTCAGCAGTAAAAGAGGAATGAATTGACAACCAATTACATGCCAACATCACAATCCCTCCGCTTCGCTCAAAAGGTCTCCTGTTGGAACCAATAGTATTTGCTGAATAATAGTCACCTACCGCAAACAAATCCCAGTGAGAAAAACTACCAGATGCTCACCTTCAATTATCCGCCACAAATCCTCCGCTTCTGAGTGCCTTATGAACACAGTCCACAATTATTGAGGCCTCCTTCATCCATGCCCCTTTCTCTTGTCCCATATCCTGAAACAATACCGGAAATTCACGTGTCGGAGTAAAAACCATGCTGTCGTATCGGATCGTTTGCCACTCTCTCCCCGTGGTAACAAAACCATACACCACACCTCCGGCGTTACGGTCTCCCATATCTTTCATTGCCAATAGACACTGCCTCTTCACCTCTCCAAGAGAGGACTTCTTCGCCTCAACCGCAAAGGCAAACTTCCGGTTTCCCACCCCGATCAAGTCCACTAGAACGAATTCCTGATAGCCATAAGTCTTGGAGTCTAGAGCAGTAATCTGTTTCTCCCTGAGTAGAAAAATGTTGCGTCCCGTCTTACTCATGGGGATTCCCCAATCGACGAAGGGTGATGTCTGAGTACTTTGGCATGAGTAGCATGGACGGGCGCCGATTAGTTCTATCACGCGGTGCCTCCTAGGCTTAAACCGTACAGGGGGTTACCGCTTTGCGAGAGAATAGGAATGCAACAACCCTCTCATGTTCATTGCGAGAGGCTAACGAGAGCGGTGTTTGGCCATAATTATCTGGCTCGTCTGGATCGACATCTGCCCGCCTAAGTAGTATTTTCACCACTCCCTTATGTCCATTCTGAGTGGCAAACGAGCGCGGTGTTTGAACCTAATTATCTGGCTTATCAGGTTGACCTCTTCCTGCCCGAGGAGCATTTCCACCACTCCTCATGCCCATTCTGAGCAGCAAAATAGAGCGGTGTTCGGCCGCGATTATTTGGCTTATCGGGGTGGACCTCTTCCCGTCCGAGTAACATTTTCACCACTCCCCCACGTCCACGCTCAGCGGCAAACGAGAACCGTGTTTGGCTG